GAACCCGAACGGAGCGATAATTCACCCGAGTGTCCGCGGCCTCCCGCCCGCGCCGCTCCCCACCGGCCTCAGCCTCCGGTTTCAAAGGCGGACAAACAGCACACTGTGCTGGGCCCGGCTCCCTCGGTAAATCTTCCTGTCTTCAACTCCGCGTAACCCGAGCCGCGGAGCGGACCCTCCCTCGGAGGCCTGACGGGCACTGGAGGAGGGGGAACGCGGCGGGGGGAGGAGGGGGAGGGGGAGGGGGAGGGGGAGGGGGAGGGGGAGGGGGAGGGGGAGGGGGAGGGGGAGGGGGAGGGGGAGGGGGAGGAGGGTAGAAAGAGGAGAGGGGGAGGGGAGAGGAGGAGGGGGAAGAGGACCCTGACCGGTCCCCCTGGGGCCTCAGCCCTCCGCATTCCTTCTGCATTGGGCAGCCTCTGGGTGCCCCCCCACCTCCCGCCAGCTGCCCCCTTCCCTCTGCTCAAGGGCTGGGGGCCTGTGGGGCAGATGTTGCTTTAGGAAGCCTTTGCTTTCACATGCACCACAACTTTGGGATATGTTTATGATTCTGGATGCTTCTGAGCTTGAGCAGAGCATATGTGTGAGAGGGGACCAGGGAGGCCGTGTGAGCTCACACCTCGGCCTGTGGCAAAGTCATTGTGGTGCTTGACTTGGGAGCAGAGATGGGGGGGGGGTCCTCCTCCTGCTCCCCTCAAGCGACCAGGGAGGCACCTCCTACAGCCACCTCAGACCTGAGATGGGGCTGAAGGCATCCGGCCTGCCCAGGGCCCGCCTCCACAGCGCCCTGACTGGGGAGGCCTGGGAGTGTGGCCTTGAGGACAATGCAGGCAAAAGCCGTCCCCTCCTGGGGGCCGCCCTGGAGAGCGATGGTGTGGCCTCTGTTGGGACTCAGTGAAAGGCCCTGCCTGGAGGCCCGGGGCTGGATGGGATCTCACAGCTCTGAGCTCAGGCCTCCAGGAAGGCGGAGGACATTTCACCCACAAGGGGCTGACTGGGTGGGGAAGGGGTCAAGATTCTGGAGGTGGGGGCGAGGGTAGGAGCAGAGGTGAAGGGCCTGGGGCTGCAGCTGAGTCAGGGATAAGAGAGTCAGAGTGAGCGTTGAGGGTACAGAAATCGTTATGAAATAGAAATAGTGCAGTAGCAGGCCTAACACGAGGGGAGGACATAGGATTCAGCCGGGGGACCGGGCTGGGACAAGCATAATGGTTAGTAGGGAGTTCGTTCATGGCCATGTCAAGGGACACATATTAACTGGGCGCCTCCCATGTGCCAGGCACCACCTCACCTGCTGGAGATGCAGAGCAGTGAGCACAACACAGACCTGCCCCCGCCGAGCTTACAGGCCAGGGGTGGAGGCAGGGAATAAGATTAAAAGAGGGTAAATGACCTGCTAGGAGTGGGTAAGTGCTGTCGAGACAGGGCTGGGAAGGGGGACAGGCAGTGGCAGGGCATGTGTTGCAGTCTTTAATATGGCCTCACTGAGAAGGTGACATTTGTGTCACAACCTCGAGGCGGTAGGGAAGCAAGCCCAGCAGGTATCTTGGTGAAGAGCATGCTGAGCAGAGGGAACAGCGAGGGCAGTCTGTGTGTAGGTGCACCCCATGCCTGCAGGCCTGCTCAGGACCAGGGGAGAGGAGTGTGGCCTGGGGGGGTGGTGGGGCAGAATGGTGACAGATCCAGGTCTTCTGAGTAATGGGGAAGCAGAAGGCGTGCAGGAGGAAAACGGGGGGGGGGGGGGGGGGGGGGGGGGGGGGGGCGACCATGCTGGGGCAAATGAAGCAGGCCTGCTCCTGAGAGAGCTCCGGGCCAGGAGAGCCTCTGGCTGGGCTGGGGCATCGGATTTGGGGGCCTCTCCCAGCTTCATCCACCGTCTCCCTTCCAAAGCGTGAGACCCCTCTTCACTTGGAGCTTGTCTTTAAGAACTTTGTCATCTACCTCCCCCCCCCCCCCGCTTTGTTTGCTAATAAAAGGATGGAGGGGGGGGCTGTCTGCCTTCGAATCCAGCCTTCTTCCCCTCCTCCTGCTTCCTCTCGCTCTCCCTCTCTCTCTCTGAGAGCTGATGCAGTTAATTGGAGCGTCTTGAAAGTGCACATTAACACACACAGAGCCAAGGAGACGTCTTGGCAGCGAAATATCATTATCACTTCTTGAGCTCCAGCCAAAATCCCCTCGCGGTCAAAACACAATTCTTTAAACCAAACAATTAAAGATTTGTGCAAGAGTGGCTGCCATGAGGTGTCAGGCTGGGAGCGGCCGCCCCTGCCAGTGTCAGCAGGTTAGCAACCTGCTCCCCACTCCCAGCCAGGTGATGGGCGGGCAACTCCCAGGAAGGAGGAGAAACAGCGGCCCATGGCCAAGGCCTGGCCCCCAGGAACAACCCGCCCCTGTCCCCAAACCCAGACCGCCACAGGTTTGAGACCCCGGAGAAAACATGGCAGGCCCATCCCAGCCCACCACATCCCTCATGGGGAGATGGCATCCACCATAGACCTGACAGTTATCCCGGACTTAGCCAGCAAGGGACCCAGCCCCTTCCAGAAGCCCCGGGATTCCGAAATGCCAGGCCCCCAACCTTTTTTATTCCTGGCTCCTACCCGCCCATCTTCAGAAGCCCCAGGCCCGGGAATAAGAAACATTGGGCATCACAGCGCCCCTTGTGGCAAGGGCTTTTCACTCTGGTATTAATGTGGTGCTCAAGGTCGCAAGGCTAAGTTCCTCTGATTCCTGGCACTCTGTGCCATCACTTTATCCCAGAGCCCTTTCCCCTTCCTAGATGCCCGCCCCCTCCAGCTCAGCACTGTAACACCAGCCACACGCAGGCCATGCACACCCCACAGACCTCAGCGAGGACCCTGTGTGTGGTCATGGGGTGCAGTCTGGGCCACATAGCTCACCGATGCGTTGCAGAGTAACCGTGGTGATCTCAAGCAAGTCCCCACCTCTCTCTGGGCCTCAGTTCCCGGGTCTATACTACATGATTTGGGCTTGACATTGAAGATTCCAGTTCACAAATGTAGTTGGTCTGTGATTATGTACCAACTGTAAGGGATGTAGGTGTGTTCAGGCATTAGGCTCAGACAGCCCTCTCTCACACTTGGGAAACTTCTTCTTGTGCTGTGCATTTCTGCAAATCAGTTCAATCAGACACTTGCCGTGCCCTGGGCAAGGGAAGTCGGGGAGACCAGGAATGGTCCCTCTGTCTCCAGCTGTGTTGTAGTGTTCTCTCTAAACTGCCAAGAAAACCTGAGTCTGGCGAAGCAAACACTCTGAAGCCAGACAGCCTGGGTTCAATCCCAGCTCCCCACTCACCAGCTGTGTGACCTCGAGCAAGATGCTTAACCTCTCTGTGCCTCGGCTTCCCCAGCTATAAAATGGGGCTAACCATATTACCCATTTCTTAGAGTTGATATGAAGATGAAATGAGTTACAATATGGAAACCAGAGCGGTGTCTGGTCCCTAGAAAGCACTCGAAGCATAGCAGCTATTTTTATTTCTGTGGCTTTTTTAGTAGGAACCCATGACGGCTTATCTGTAAAGATGGCCTCTCAATTAACCATGCTTCCCTGAACTCATACTCTTGTGTTGACCCCTCTCACATTAAATCTGGGACAGCCCAGGGTAACCAATAGAATGAGGCAAACATGACATTGTGTAACTGACAAGGCCAGATCAGAAAAAGCTTCTCTGCCTGGGCCTCTGGGTAGGATCACTGTCAGGCGTCATGTAAGAAGTTCAAATACCCTTTGGCCCACCATGCTGTGAGGAAGCCCAAGCTACCACGTGGAGCAGCCACGAGGAGAGAAAGAAAGAGAGGCTTGGCCAAGCACCCAGCTGAGATGCCACATATGTGAGTAAAGAAGATCCCACCCAATCCAGCCTTCAGTTGACCCCAGTCTCAGCTGCCACTTGATTGAACCCCAGGAAAGACCCCAAGCAAGAAAGCCGACCTGAACCCAGTCACCCCACAGAACTATGACAGATAATAAATTTTCATTTTAAGCAACTAAGCTTTAGGGTGGTTTGTTTCAAGGAATGGACCTTCGAGTCCGAGTGGGTCAGAGTGGGAAGGAAACTTGGTGATCCTAATTTGAATTGAGTCCTAATCAGATCATGATGTCACCTGCCTTCCCTTAATTCCACGATGGCTTCTTCTCACATTTGGAATAAAATCCAAAGTCCCCCCTAAGGTCTAGCAGGCCTTACACGCACTGTGCTCACTCTCCCTCTGACCACATTGTCCTCCCCTTGCTCCGATGCAAGCCCTCTGGCCTCCTGGTCATTCCTTGAACCTGCCAAATAGGCTCCTGCCTCAGGGCCTTTGCTTGTGCTGCCCCCCCCTTACTTTCTCACAGCTCACTCCTTCGCTTCATTCAGGTCCCTGATGAAGTGTCACGCCTTTGGGGGGCCTTTCTTAAAATAGTACCCCCCCCTCCAGATCTTCTAATATCCCTCTCTCTTCCCATCCCTGCTTTATTTTTCCTCAGGTGACTCATTGCTACCTGACAGTATATATTATACTGTGCATTTATTTCTGCATTCATTTACTGTCTCTCTCCATCCCACTAGAATGGGAGCTCCATGAGGGTGGGAATTTTGCTTGGTTGACCACTGAGCTTCAGGGCCTGGAACAGTGCCTGACACATAGTAGGTCTCAATCAACACTTGCAGGATGAATGAAACTTCTCTATCCCAGGGAAGGGAACTGAGGCCTAGAGTGATACAGCGACTTGCCCAAGGTCACACGGCTACTTAGCCTGACCTTGTCCCCGGGTTCTCTGTTCCCAGGTGTCCCCTGCACACCGTATTCCCCCAAAGCCCCTTCTCCCCTTCACCTACGGAGCAGCCAGCGGCGGCCACTCCCGTCTGTCACTCAGCCGGGCCAATAGCCCTCAGCTCCTCCAGTTGTTTCTGTCAAACAGTATTTACAATAAACTTTGTTTGAACTTTTGTCTAAGTGATAATAATAATAACACGATAATTATATGGAGTATAACGTACAGCCAGCTGTATTTAATTAAAGCTGTAATTTCACTAAGGGTTTCTGGAAACAGAGTAAACCGCAAGCGTTGTACCACCCGGACCTCTCTGCGGGGATTCCAGCGGGACGGGAGCGGGGTGACGGCAGCAGAGGCCCCAGAAGCCGGAGGCCACCAGCATGCTTCCGGAGTCAGGGTGCTCCCATCCTGGAGCCCCCGGCGGGTGGGTCCGCCGTGGCCTCAGGCCAAAGCCTGAGTCTGGAGCCTCTCAGAGCATGTGCACGCCTCCTTCTGACCTTGGCTGGCTCAGGGGAAAGTTGCTTCTTTCAAGACTGGAATAAAGGGCTGGGAGCTGACAGACACCACCCAGGAGCAAGGAAGGTGGCTCGGAAGCCAGAGGCCCAGCGGGCGGGACAAAGGGGAGGAATCAGAGCCAGCTGAGGGGGGACAGCCGGGCATGGATTTTGTCAGCAGAATTTTGCTTAGTGTGGATCATGTGCCTGGCACTGTGCCGGACACTGGGGTAAAGGAAACCTGGGCTGTGCTCTGCTGAGAATTTGGTTGAGCAAGAAAACAGCCTTGTACACCAATCACCAGAGGAGCCCACCCAGAGGGGATTGCGTCGTCCCTGGGCGAAGAGCCCCCCTTTGGGGCCAGAGTATGCAGATTTAAATCCTGGCTCTGTCCCTCTCAGCTGGGCTTCACTTTTCCACCTGTGAAATGGGAATAACAGATCTATATCAGAGGATTAATAAGGAGTAAATGAAGGAATCGGTGTCAGCTGCTTAGGACAACAGTAGAGAGGGTAGATGAATGTTAGCTGTATCATTGGATATTTCTTCGAGTTCAGAAATAGGGTGACCTGGCCTGGCCGGTGTGGCTCAATGGTTGAGCGTTGGCCTATGAACCAAGAGGTCACGGTTTGATTCCTGGTCAGGCACATGATCCCCAGTATGGGGCGTGCAGGAGGCAGCTGATCAATGATTGTCTCTCATCACTGATGCTTCTCTCTCTCTCCCTCTCCCTTCCTCTCTGAAATCAATAAAAATATATATATATATATTTTTAAAATATATTTTATTGATTTTCTACAGAGAGGAAGGGAGAGGGACAGAGAGTTAGAAACATCGATGGGAGAGAAACATCAATCAGCTGCCTCCTGCACACCCGCCACTGGGGATGTGCCCACAACCAAGGCACATGCCCCCGACCGGAATCGAACCCGGGACCCCTCAGTCTGCAGGCCGACGCTCTATCCACTGAGCCAAACCGATCAGGGCTAAAAATATATTTTTAAAAAAGAAAAGAAATAGGGTGACCAACCACCCTGGCTGGGATGTGGAACATTCAGGCCCAAACCAGACAGTCACAGGAAATCTGGATGGTTGGCCATCCTACCTGGAAAGCCAGAGCTGGGTCTCAGGGACAAGGTGACATTCGAGCCAGGTACACGCTAAGGATGTGGGGGACTTCGCCGTTCAGCAGAAGGCAGAGAATACATGGGAAAGTATGGAACCAGGGATTTGGGCCCAGATGGGTCATGAGCGCCTGTGTGACCCCTTCCTGGGGGCTCAGTTGTCCCATCTGTAGGCTAACGGGGGACCGACTGCTCTCTGGGGCCCCTGGCAGGTCTGCAGTCAGAGGAGACTGAGGCTGCAGGAAGGAAGGAGCTGGTGAGGGGCCTCAAGGGTCACCTCACCTGCCCCCAGCATGCACATGGGTCACCCCACCTGTCCCCCGCATGCACTCGGGCCACCCCACCTGCCCCCAGCGTGCACACGGGTCACCCCACCTGCCCCCAGCATGCACACACAATGCTGGGGCACAGGGGAGGTAAAGGGGACACTTGCCCACATAGAAACCCCTCTTGGAGGCCTGTAGCAGGGCAGGACCAGTAGGGTTAACTGGAGAGTCGGTTTTAATTGTCTAAAGAGGCTTGCTGCTGGGGGTGGGGGTTGATCGAGAAGATCTCTGAAGAGATGCAGAAATATTCCTGGGTAATAAAATATCCCCTTTTCAGTGTCAAAGTTAATGTTCCAGGCCTCAGGTAAAACCGGCTTCTTATCAGCCAGCGCTCTCCCTGGAGGAGGCTGGGTGGCAGGCGGGGAAGGAGGGAGCAGCTAGGGTTCCCCCACCCCCCAGTAGAGAAGGGGGGGTGCTTGGTGGTCAAAGGAGGCCGAGCCCCATTGTGATCTCCCGAGGCCCTGGGACCAGGAGGTCGGTGGGTGCAGGATGCATGGCCTGACCCGCATCAGGCTGCCTAGCACTCTGTCCGCCTCCCCCCCGTCCCTCGCCTGCTGGCCTCTTTCTCCTTCCTCTTTTCTCTCAGACTGCTCTTTCCACCTGTCTGCTCCCGCCCATTCCGCGTGTGCCTGCATCTATGATGCTGTTTGTGTCTGTCTGTCCTGCTGGGGTGCTGTCCCCTGAGGCCAGCACAAGAGGCAGAAGGCCTCACACGCTGCCTGGGAGCAACACGTATGGGCCGCACACTCACGCACCCCCGTGCAACTCTGCACAATGGCCTCGGTGGCACCTTGCCCGTGCCCCAGGCTGCCGCCTGCACCCCTGCCCGGGCACTGGGCCCCAAACCCACTGGCGTGTGCCGGCAGCTCAGCACAGTGACTCTGACAGGCCGCTGGGTTAAATATAGAGTTGCATACGCAAGACGGGGCTAATTTTAGCAGGAATGTGCTGGAAACTTTCTGAGGGCTCTGTTCTCTCTCTGTCTCCCCTGTGCTCATCGCTCAGGGCTGGAAGTAAACCTGCTAGTCCTCCATTCTTCATCTTCCTGCTTCTCCCTTCCCCTCCCCCTCTCTCCACTCGGGTCCCCAGACGCTGGCCCTGTTCCTTTTCTTGGCTGTGCCCGTTCCCAGGGGCCAGACCACCCCACCGCCTGAGTTCTAAATCCCGTGTCCCCTCTCACGTCAGCAACGCCAAGGCTGGCCAGCCCTGGGGAACATGATCAGTTACTCAAAACGCTCCTTCCTCCTGCCGCACCCCAGTGACGCGTCCTATTGGGGGACGACGGCTGATTGACACACCAACACAGTCTGCCACTTGCTGCGTCCCTGTGTGCCAGGCACATACTCGGTGCTTCATAAAGAATCACTCACTTAACCCTCTCAGCACCCTGGAGGGAGGTGTGGGCAGTAGCCCCATTTTACAGACCAGGGTAGGGAGGCCCAGAAACATTCACGAATTGCCGAGGGTCCTTCAGCCCACACTAAGGGTCACCTAAGACATTATCTTTCCAGGGAAGCACATGTGCCTTTTAAAATTATACATATATATTTTTATTGATTTCAGAGAGGAAGGGGAAGAGATAGAAAGATAAAAGATGAGAGAGATCCCCTTGATCCCCTTCTGGGGATCAATCCCACATCCTGAGCATATGCCCTGACCTGGAATCAAACCGGTGACCTCTTGGTTCCTGGGTTGAAGCTCAACCGCTGAGCCACGCCCAGCTGGGCCACGCGTGCCTTTTCAGTGGGAACCCTGGTGGGAAGAGATCGTGTTAAGCACAAAGGAAGTACCATGATGTGGAACTCCAAGGACCATGACTCCAGAAGGGCACCGGTTTTCGGGGTAGACAGGGGCCGCTCCTGTCCCCATCCTTCCTGTGTCCTGCTGCCCACCCGGGGGCCCAGGGCAATAGGGCATGCTTCTCCCCAACCCAGGTCTGCATTGGCTTGTGTTCCTACCCCTCCGTTTTCCCTTCCCCCTTCACATGGCATTTAGGGGGCACCTACTGTGTGCCCAGCGCGGCCGCAGGTGCTTGGCTGCAAAGAGAATGAGCTGGAGGGCAGGGCTGGCTCTGAAGTCTCTGGACGAGTTGGTGGCAGGCGCAGGCCTAGAGTAAACAGTCAGCTGCATCTTCCTTGGTGAGGATAATAATAGGAGCTGGAGGACAGAGGAGAGAAAAAGCTGACATCCGGAAGGGGCTGCACCCCCCTCGCAAGAAACTCCAGAGGCATCAACTCCCCCACCTCCCCCCGCCCATGCTCTGACTGCTCTCGCCGGCAGCTCAGAAAAATGCCCTGTCTCCCCGCGGGGCTGTGTAACAGCGCTGCGTGGCGTTGTGTTTGAGGGCGAGGACATTTCCCTGTAATGAGGATTAGAATAGTAACGAGGAGGATGACACGCTGGAGTTGGAGCAGCAAATCTCCGGGGAGCGCCGGCCCACCCGCCGCAGGGATGCCAGCTGTGGGGATGCGACAGAGCCGCGCCCCATTAGCCAGGCCAGGAGCCACTGGCCAATGTCGGCCGCTGGCCGCTGGCCCCAGCCCACGCCCCTAGGGCTACTGGACGGGCAGCAGGATTGGGTGCTCAGGGCCCTGGCTCACAGCCTGGCCCTGGGGCAAAGGGAACCCGGGTAGGAAGGAGGAGAGGACGCACTGAGATTGCAGCCTCCACGGCCCTCTTCCTCCTGCCTCTGCAGCACCGATTCTTTCTCATCTATAATATAACTCCCTTTTTCATGTTCCTTACTGTCTCCCTGACTACAAAGTCATCTCCATGCTTTGTCCCTGCTGTTTCTCCAGTAACTGGAATAGTGCCAAGAGCATAGTAGGTGTTCACGGAAGATGATGCATGCGCTAATAGATTTGGGTGTGGACCCTTGGTGCTGCATGATGGGACCGGAGATGCCCCATGTGGCTGAAGTCTTTGTGCCAATCTGTGAGGGGGGGGGGGGTGTCTGTGAGGAGGGTGTCTGTGTAAGGTATGTGTGAAGGGTGTGTGTGTGTGAGGGGTGTGTGTGAGGGGTGTGTGTGAGGTGTGTGTGTGTGAGGTGTGTGCGTGTGAGGGGTGTGTGTGAGGTGTGTGTGTGAGGGGTGTGTGTGAGGTGTGTGCGTGTGAGGTGTGTGTGTGTGTGTGTGTGAGGCATGTGTATATCTCTGTGAGGTGTGTGTGTGTGAGTGTGAGGTGTGTGTGTGTGTGTGTGTGTGTGAGGGGTGTGTGTGTGTGTGAGGTGTTTGTGTGTGTGTGAGGCATGTGTATATCTCTGTGAGGTGTGTGTGTGTCACCATCTCCCTCGCACACTTCAGCTGCTGAATGACGCAGGGCCTCCGGGAATGGCGAGTGTCCTGGGTGAGCCCCGGGGCTGGGCAGGGAGCCTCTGCCTGCATGGGCGAGGCCTGTGGAGCACTCCACTGACCCTCGCCCACGGGCCTCTGGGACAGACCCCACCGGGGCTGTGCCCACGTTGCCTCATGCCACCTTGGGGCGGGGTCCTGCACCGACTTTGGGGACAGAGCTGCTCTTTCCAGGAGTGGCGCCTCCCGGCATGGCATTCCCCGTGCGTGTCCACGCCCTCCTGTGGAACAGCCTGTGGAGAATGACAAAGGCTGTGCCTGCATCGCCCGCTACGTGCCAGGCCTGGGGCGAGAGCCCAGTGACCCTCACAGCACGTGACTCCAGGGCACGTGGGAGGTAGGTGTGAGCAGTACAGGTAGGGAAACGGGGGCCCGGGGAAGGAAGTCACGTGTCCGAGGTCACACAACGAGGATGTGGGACACGACACGGGCACCAGGCCTGAGGCCACGGCTGACGACGTCGCCCAAATGGGACAGTGGGGCCCTCCCTTCCCCAGAGCCACCACCTCACCCCCCTGCAGACGGAGGAAAAGCGAGGGCATGAAGGAGCTGTCTGCTTCCTCAGGGCCTGCGTGTGGCTCGTCCCCGAGCTTGCTGGCAGCCACCCTTGCCCTCATCAGATGCCCCTGTAGTGGCACGTGTTCCTGAAAGCGCTGTGCTTCAGTCCTAACCACCAGCACCTGTGAGAATGGCTTTATTTGGAAATAAGGGCTTTGCACATGTCGTCAAGTTACTGAAAGGTGAGGTCATCTGGGTTAGGATGGGCCCTACATCCAACGACCTTATAAGAAGAGGGCAATTTGGACACAGACACGCAGGGAAGAATCGGTGCTGTGGTGGGAGCTGATGTGGGAGTGATCTGCCTGCAAGCCAAGGGCTGCTGGCCGCTCCCGGGAGCTAGGAGAGAGGGGTGAACAGCCCTCCCTCTGAGCACTCCGGAGGAAACCAAGTCCGCCCCAACCTTGACCTCAGACGCTGGCCTCCAGAGCTATAAGGGAATTCATTCCTGTTGTTCTGAGCCACCAGTCTGTCAGTGCTGCAGCCCTAGGAAGTGAGGACACACCCTCCCTGCCCAGTGCTGACGCGCACACACATGCACACGCACACGCACACACACGCATACACAGTAACCTAAATGCACAATCATGTAGATTCACACTCCGGCTAGGCCACACTAGCCCACGCTGAGTGCTCCTGTGCAAGGTGCTGCTGCCCACAGCCACCCCGCACCCCGCGGGTGGAGTGCCCGCCTCCCCACACATCCCTGGCCTGCCGGTCCCCGCCCCCATCGGGTCAGCCGGCGCCTCCCTGGGGACAGAACCCTCCAAACTCCTTTCAGGGCTTCCTTCCCTGCTTCCCCTTCTGGTCACTTCCCAGCCCCCAGTCTCCTGGTCTGACTTCCTCCCTCCCGCCTTCCCTCTCCTCCTCCTCCCTTCCTGCCTTCCTCTGCCCCTTTTCTCCCCCTCTGAGTTCCGGGCCCTGCTGCAAGGCCCTACATGTTTTCGGAGAGTTGCACGTCGCCACCTGTTGCTATGGAGAAGCCTCTTTATCACAAACACTGAGTAAACAGCTGCTGCTGGGAGCCCCTTTCTGCTGGCCAGGGGTTTATTTGGAGAAAGTCAATAAGGAAAAATAAACATTCCCAGCCCTGTGTATATACAGCCTTGGGACTGGTGCTCCGCCGAGGCCCAGGCCCCAGCTCCCCAGAGGGTCTGGCAGGCTGAGCCCAGAATCTCCCACTCCCAGTTGGGGAGGGGCCTGGCAGCGGTTCTCCTCTGCACGTAGTCAGGCCGCTCTGTAGGCTGCAGCCTCCCTGCCCTCGGCTGGGCCCGGCTCCCACAGCTCCGGGCTCCTGCTCCTCGATCTCCACCTCCACCTTCCAGGAAAGGGTGTGATGAAGCAGACCCACCCACCTGCCTGTCCAGGTCACTCGCCTGCTGGCTTCCAGGGAAGTCCATTCTGCCTGCGCCCCCGCAGTACCCTGGGGTTCCAGGGAGGAAGCATGGTCAGTGTGGCCAGAATTCTCTCTGTGAAATCGTAGTTTCCACTGAATCCAACATGTTAAGTGCTTAATAAGCCAACACTGCATTCATTCAGCACATATTTATTTAGCAGCTATGACTATGTCACGGGGCTGTGCTGGGCTCTGCTGGCTCCTGCCCTCATGGTGCTCACGGTCTAGTGCAGTGGTCGGCAAACTGCGGTTCGCGAGCCACATGCGGCTCTTTGGCCCCTTGAGTGTGGTTCTTCCACAAAATACCAACTTCTGCGCATGGGCCACGAAGTTTCAATCGCATTGTACGTGCGTGCCCACACGTGGTATTTTGTGGAAGAGCCACACTCAAGGGGCCAAAGAGCCGCATGTGGCTCGCGAGCCGCAGTTTGCCGACCACTGGGGAAGACAGAGTCAGCCACCGTGGCGCAGCTGGTTAAATACATCCCGGTGTGTGAAGTGCCATGCGGGAGAAGCCAGGGTGAAGGTGGGTGTGGAGATGCACCTTGCATCTTGCTAATCTCCACCGCATGCATCGGCTCAGTGAATCCTCAGAGCAACCCTGGGAGGTGGTAATATTTTTATTCCCATTTGACACGTGGGGAAATAACTTACCTAACGTCACTGAGCTACCAAGTGGGAGTCTCGGGATTTAAACGCCGGGCTGCCGGGGGCTCTGACCCGCGGCAGCTCTGTTGGGCTTGCAGTCGGAATGCCACGGTCCTCGGAAAGCTCATGAGAAAAGCTCTCCTGAAGCGTTCACATGACAAGTGGGGACAGGCAGTGACAAGAGTGGCTGATGAGGAATGCCAGTCACTCAGAGGACATCAGCTGATACGGAGGACTCAGAGCCAGGGGCAGGAGTCGGGTTGAGCTTTGAAGGATGGGTAGAATTTAGAGAGGCCGGAGGCAAGGGAAGGAATCCCAGGGGCAGAGCTGGGTGCAGCCTGGCTGGGGCTGGGGAGCAGGAAGAACTGTTTTGGAGAAGGGGGAGGTAGGCTGCCACCTCGCCTCTCACTCCTGACCCCCATGCCTCCCTTGGAAACTGGCCTCCATCCCCACCACCCCTGCTTTGGGCCAGGACCTCATCCTCGCTCTCCCACATGTGTATGCAGCCTCCTTCCTGGTCTCCCTGCCTCTAGCCTTCTCAGCTTCTAGTCCACTCCCCACCAGCCCCAGGATCTTCCAGAAACACAAATCGAATCATGCCACCGCCTCCTCTGTGTCCCCTCCCTAGAAAGATGCCACGCGGCCTTGCTCTCGTCTCTTCCTCATCCGTGAGCATCCTGCGCACCGAGCAGATAGAACCACTCCAGTTTCCCAAACGCACGGGGCCCTCTTGTGCCTCTGCTCTTGGCACTTACACTTCCAACTGCTTGGGAATCCTTCCCGAAGGACCACATTCATTCACAAACTCTTTCTGTTGTTGTTGTTGTTTAATAATTTATTGAATTCAGAGAGGAAGGGAGAGGGAGAGAGAAATAGAAACATCAATGATGAGAGAGAACCATTGACCCGCTGCCTCCTGCATGCCCCACACAAGAGATCGAGCCCACAACCCAAGCATGTGCCCTGACCAGGAATCGAACCGTGACCCTCCTGTTCATAGGTCGACGCTCAACAACTGAGCCACGCCACCCAGGCTTTCACAAACTCTTAATGGGCACCGACTAGGTGTCTGTCTCTGGTCGGAGCCGTGGCAACAAAACAGATGAAGGGCCTTGTCCTCGTGGAATTACGTCCCAGTGAGGGATAGACACTCAAGCAAGACTCAGAAGTAAAATATACACGCCAGCGGGTGCTGCTGGCGGCTGTGGAGGGACACCCTGCAGGGAAGGGGGATGCGCAGGGCCTTGAGGCGACGGTGACGACTCTGAGTAAGATGGGGAACTCTCTCAGGTTTCCCAGGGTTCCCTCTGGCTGTTGTGTTGAGAATAGAATGAAGGTAGCATGGTAGGAGCAGGGAGACAGGCAGACCCCAGGAACTCAGGGCTCCCACTCCCCGCCAAGGCTGTCAGGGCCTGGTTCTGGGGTGTCTCCCCCCTCAAGCCCCAGACCCCCAGGGGCTTCCTGAGGGGAGCCAGGTAAGAGAGGGCACGCCCTCCAGGCCTCATCCAGTGCCACCGTCCTGCAGCATGTTCTGGTTCCAGGGCGCAGCCCTGCAGACCTCCAGCCTGGCACTGCCTCCCCCCTGCCTCCTTCCGGCTGCCTGCCCATCTCCGCCCAGGACCCTGAGGAGGACAGGAGCCCCGCAGAGCAGCGATCCACATATCGGGGCCAAGGGAATTAACATTCCCGGGCTGCAATTATACCTTCCACCCATGACACCTAAGGAAGCATATTTTTATAAAAGCAGGTAAATTGGAGGCTTATGGGATTGTGGGGAATGAGTGTATTTTTAGCACATTCCCCTCTCCACTCCTGATTGCCAGAATCCTGGTAGTTACTCTGGCACCAGAGGTCTGAACTGAGGCTGGTGGGGCTCAGAGTGAGTTTGAGGGGCCATTGTGCAGGGGATCTGGGAGGCACTGGGAACCTAGTTAAGCCAAGTTAGAGTCTAGGAAAGAAGCTGGACAAACTCCCTCTTATGGGGGAAGTATGGGGAGGAGTCATTCATTAGAAGGTGGGGAGCACGTTTTTAAGTTATATATACCGATACTAATAATAGAAACAAAAACAGTAATGATAGCTAACCCTCATAAGGTGCTTCTTAAGTGCCAGATCGTGTTCTAGTTGCATTTTACAACAATCATATGAATATGTTCTGCTAATATCCCCATTTTGCAGATGAGAAAACCAAGGCATAGAAAGTGTAATTTTGAGTTAGACCGTTGGAGATACATTTATACATCTAAACGCACATGAATTCCCTCATGGTATCCCCAACGAGGCCTAAAGTTTGGCCAATTGCAAGCTCTGAAGTTAGGAAGCCCCTACCTTTGGGGGCAGGGCCTCTGATCACACTTCTGGTTCCTCTTGCACAGCCTACACCCCCACCTGGTGCAAAGAAAGCCATGTGGCTGGCCAGCAGCCCCACCATGCCCTTCAGCACAGAAGGCTGGAGCAAGAGGCTGTGAGGAGACTGTGAGGAGCTGGGAGCAGAATGTGCAGGGCTTCTGCCCGTTTAGGGAACTGCTTGGGATAGTGGATCTGCTGGTACTGGAGAAAATGTGGAGAGGAGAGGGAGGGATTAGGGTCCCCCTCGGTGTCCAGCGTCGCTGCCATCTAGGGACACCCTTCTCTGGCAAGGACATCAGCATAGAGAAGCATGAGAGAGAGAAAGGCAGGGCGAGATGTGATTTTTAATGCAAGCCTCGATAATCAGCTATTTGTGATGGAATTTTTTCTGTCCTGGTCTCCGAGGGACGAGAAGCGGGAGTGAGGGAAGAGGGGTCAGAAATTAGTATGCAGAAATATCTGATCAGCCAAAGTAATTTTCTTTAATAATCGTATTCATACTGCCTGCTCTCTGCTCACTGGAAGAATTAAGTATTTAATAGTAATATATTTCATCTGGCAGTGGTTCCGTTTCGTTAGGAGCCGTGATGCTTCGTCGGGATATGTGGGTGGTGGAGGTCTGGGGGGTGGGGGGGAGGGAGACAGATAGGAGGTGTCAAGGCAAAAAGAAATAGCTAAGCGAGCAGGAGGGCAGTGGGCACGGGTGGGCAGGGAAGGAGGTAGAGGGGGAGCTGTGTGCCAGGGGGAGCCCGGCGGCCCTTCGAGGTGCCACTCAAGTGCCTTCGCTGCCTGAGCGGGGCTGCCCCGCTCTGCCTCTGGCTGCAGTTGTGGCCCCCAGAGACCCCACTTCTGACCCAATTCCAAAAGCTTCATCTCTGACCCCCAAAGACAGGTCCTCCTGTCCGACCCCTGGCATGTCCCCAGCCCCCAGCTCCGAGACCGATAGAGTCGCTGAGTGGGGGTAGAATTGCACAGTGAACCCCAGGCTGTGCTCTGACCCCCTGCCCAAGCTTCCGGGGCTCCCCAGCAGGTCCTTGGGGCTGCCTGCATGGGTCCCCCAGCCCAGAGGTGAGCCTGCGGGTGCAGGCTGGTGCGTGAGCGGGGCTGGTGCGGAGGAGAGCAGCAGCTTGCGCCGGCTGGAGAACCTGACAGCGGCCTCTCTGCCCCGGGGCTGCGGGCGCAGTGTGCTTTAGCTATTACATGATCTTAATAGTTAAAAAGCAGGCCCAGCGCGTGCCGGGGACATAATCGATGACACCTAGCGCTGGGGAACCTGATCTCCGTCGGAGGCGTGTGGACAGGTTCTCTGCCTCCTCTGCCAGCTCCCCGAGCTCAGCTACCTGGTGGAGAACATCCGTGGGAAAGGAGCAACCACATCTGTCCGATGAGATTGGAGACAAAGAGAGAGAGGGCCGAGCTGCAGATAGCAGAGTTCAGCTGCTCGCTGTTCCTCTAACAGCAAACTCCGCAAACTGATGTGCAGTGATGCTGGCACTTCCAGGCGCCTGACAGGCTGGAATTAAACACCTGTCCATTAAACTGACAGCCCCAGGAAGGAAAGAGAGGGGGAGAGGAGAGGGGGGCGGGGAGGGCTGGGAACCCAACCGCAGGCTGGCTCCTTCCCTGCAGGAGGCAAGCGCCTGCCAGACAGAGAGGTCAGGGCGGGAGCAGGAGCCAGCAGCATCTATGGGTCCTCCTCGCTCTCGCTTCTGAAGCAAGCAGAGTGTAGATAGGCCCACTGCAAACTAGCATTCAGACCTGGACCTTGGGGATGGAGAAGCAGCATGTGACGCGCCCGGGAGGCTGGGCCAAGGTGAAGAGATTTATCCTCATTTGCTCAAAACTCCAGTTCAAAGGCGTGTGGTCTCTGGCAGCCTCTGGGCCTCCTCCACACACACGCTCTTTGTCTGCTCTGAGCCCTTGAGGCATGTACCAGACATGAGGCAGCCCATCCGTGCTTCCCTGAGACGCCTCTTGGGCTGTTGGACATCTGGGTGAGTCTATCCTGACTCCCCAACCCAAGTGGAAGCTCCTAGAGAAAACACAGCTTGTCTTCCACTCCCTAGCTCCCCCCTGCCCCCCGCAGTGCTAGTGGGAGGGGCTGGGAGGAATGGGTTTCTGGGACGGATGGGGCTCATGGATTCATGGATGGATGAACAGATGGATGGATGTAATGCTGGCGGTTAGGTGGCATATACCAGTGGGCCTGTGCTGGTTGTTCAAGTTTCTGTATTGGTCAGTAGATAGTCATTACCTCTAGCCCTTTAAGTGCCACCTTCCCCATCGTCCTACCCCCTGCCCTGTGATTTGCTGGACCTCCCAAGATTCAGCGATTAAACATTAGCACCCAGCCCAGCAGGGGGCCTCAGGCCTCTGCTCCATGGCAGTGACCAGCGTCCATTCTGATTGGTGAGTAAGTCAGCTTATCATTGTAACCAACACCCTTGGGTGGATAGACGAACAGCCGCCAGGACTGAATGCTGGGATTAGGTGATCTTCGGAGAAGGAAGCAGGAGGGGCAGAAACGCCACACAGCTTATCAGGAGGCCGGGGTTTGTTTGTTCACGCTGACCACCACCTTGGGATACTCAAATGGGGACAATACCTGCCCCGCCAACCTCAGAGGGTGGCTGTGCCCCGTTGAGCCTGTCCCTCCATCCTCTGGTCACGATTCCTTGCCGTGTGCGTGCCCACTTCTCTCATAGAGGATGGGGGGCTCCTTGGAAACAAGGGTGGAAAACACCCCCATATCCCAGCACGTGCTTGGCA